CAGTGTAAATTGTGATAATCATAATTAATAATCGCAATTACAATTTCAAGAGAATAATCGACAATTATGATTTTTCAATCGTGCGGCACTAGTTTAGGTATATATATATATATATATATATATATATATATATACCTAAACTAGTGCCGCACGATTGAAAAATCATAATTGTCGATTATTCTCTTGAAATTGTAATTGCGATTATTAATTATGATTATCACAATTTACACTGAATGATGTTAATACCATTGTTTGAAGCAACTGCATGCTATATTTTTATATGAAAATAAACAAGCTGAAAACACTCTTCCTGAAAAACTTTTATTGATTTTCTATTGTATTAAGCCTCAAATGTCAACTATACATGGATTAGTTTTTTTCTTTAAATAAAAAAAAAAGTAAAAATATGCATGGTATTGTAATGTTATATTAAAACTAAAATTTTAACACTGGAAAAACCCTTAAGATGACTTGTAGAAATAATTCAGAATAACATAAGTGGACATTGAACGATTAATTGCCGCTTTGAACGATTACATTATTGTGGCGTCCGTAATTGTAATGGCGATTAGAAATTCGATTAATTGTGCAGCCCTAACAAAGAACATGAGGGTGATTTAATCATGACAAACCTTTCTTTCTTTTTTTTTCCTATAAATGATGAGCTACATCTTCCCAAACCAAATACATAACAGTGACGACACTCAACAGCATATAAAGAATATAGCTTCCTGGGAGCTTGCAAAACCTTAAATCAGTTATGAGAACATTTGAGCTATATGTTGTTAGTCTAAAACGGGATTTTTATGTACAGTATATTGACATTTTTGAGTATCTATGACTCCGTATGCTGGATTTGCATTTAGCAGATGCGATGGAGTTTGATGCACTGCATGCCTGCATTAAAAGTTCAGATTGAAATGCCTTATCTTGTCATATCTCATCTTACTCTTCTGTCTCTCTCTGTGCTGCAGGCATCAGAGGAGGCATCCTTACGGGCCCTGGAGAGTCTTATGACAGAGTTTTTCCACAGCTGCACCACCAATGACCGCAAGAGAGAGATTGGTGAGCATATGCCTGACACTGGCCTTCACACAGTTATCATGCCCTGATTTGCACAGTCATCGTTTGTACGGTTATAATCTGAAAAGGCTGTTATTTGTTATGTCTGTCTCGTATCATGAGACATTCAATTTTCTCGTCTTTCAAGAAATTTCTTGATGCACAATAGGGTTGTGACGGTGAGGAAATTTTCCCACCGGTTAATCGACGTGTGACAACACCGGTAATA